ACTGATGAACATTGAATGTGAATATAAATGTTGAATAATGCATGATGAATAATTTTTAATAATTATTGATTATCTGAACTGAACATTATGTGCATGATATCAAATGATTTGATTATGAATTTAGATTCAGTTTATATGGATGTTCGATGCATTAGATATGCTTACTCAGCTTCAACGCTGAGCGTGTAGTATGTTTTATTTGCTACACGCAGGTTAATGAAGTAACGTGATCCTGGAGGCAGACGGAGGCGAGATTGTCGGAATGGATGTGATGATTTTGAATTAAAGAACATAAATAAATTATGTTTGTGATTATGATTGTTAAGCTTCCGCAATATTGAAAACTCCGTACTGTTTATACTATGAAAAATATTATTGTGATAAATAAAAGTGTTTGAAATGTTTTAAATTTTTACGATTACCAAGTTAATAATTTAATCTGAAAGGGGCTGCAGACCTGGACAGATTAGGGTGTTACATGCAAAGCTACACTACTTTTGAAGAGCTTACTAAGTTGGCTCTCAAAGTTGAGGCTCAAATGAAGAAATCTAAAGCCATTCTCTCAAGAAACCCTCCCCCTCACTCACGCCCCACATATACCCCCACAAAACTCACCCCTACTGCCCACGGACAAACCCCCAAACCCCAAACACCATCTAAGCCAAATCCTACTCCTCCCCCACCTAAAACAGCCTCTACAACCAACAAAAGAGCCCCCATTTGTTACCGATGCCAAGGAACTGGTCACTACGCCAATGAGTGCCCAAACAAGAAAATAATGGCCTTGGTTGAGTATGATGATGAAGAGTACAATCCCGTGTGAGATGAAGAAGTAGCCGAGGAGGAGGAAGAAGAATGTGTTGACCCCGACGACGGTGAACTTTTGGTCATCCGAAGGACCTTAAGTGCCATACCATGCCTCGAGGAGCAATTAGAACGGGAGAACATCTTTCATACCCGTTGTACCATTCAAAAGAAGGTGTGTTCGTTAATCATCGATAGCGGGAGCTGCTCTAACGTTGCCTCCAAAACAGTGGTGGAAAAGCTACATTTAAAGGTGTCTCCTCATCCCAAGCCTTACACTATTCAATGGCTAAACCAAGGCAAGGGCTTACGTGTTGATACGAGGTGCTTGATCTCGCTGAGCATCGGCAAGACTTATAAGGATGACATTTGGTGCAATATCATTCCCATGGACGCATGCCACGTCCTTTTGGGACATCCTTGGTTGTTCGACAACAAAGTGCAGCATGATGGCTACTTGAACACTTATTCATTCCTTATGAATAAGTAGAAAATTACCCTCACTCCCTTACCCCCACCTTCCTCACCCACGGTCCAAAACAACAACAACAACCCTCTATCCCTCATTTTCACTATACTCCAATCCGAAAACCATGAACTTGAAGGATTCAAGGACCTCATTCTCCTTGATCTTGAGATGGCCGAACCCACTGCCCCTCCCAAGCAGCCCCATCCTCTAGCAATTCCCATCCTTGAACAATATGCCCACGTCTTCCCCGAAGATGTACCACACGGCCTACCCCCAAAAAGAGATATCCAACACAAGATCGACCTCATTCCCGGGTCTGCCTTACCAAACAAACCAGCCTATAGAATGAATCCCGAAGAAACAAAAGAGATCCAACGACAAGTGGATGAGATACTAGCAAAGGGCTTTGTTCGTGAAAGCCTAAGTCCTTGTGTTGTTCCAGCTTTGTTGGTACCAAAGAAAAATGGTACGTGGAGAATGTGTTGTGATAGCCGAGCCAGTAACAAGATCACCATCAAATATAGGTACCCAATACCTAGGCTCGAGGATACGCTGGACGAACTTCACGGTTCGAAGGTTTTCTCAAAGATTGATCTTAGAAGTGGCTACCACCAAATCCGTATCTTCGAAGGTGACGAATGGAAGACCGTCTTCAAAATGAATTTTGGTCTCTACGAATGGTTGGTTATGCCATTCGGGCTGACCAATGCCCCTAGCACATTCATGCGATTGATGAATCAAGTATTGAAGCCATATGTAGGTCACTTTGTCGTGGTCTACTTTGACGACATATTGATCTATAGCAAGAGTGAAGAAGAGCACGTTAACCACCTCACCTTAGTGGTTAAGAGATTGGATGAAGAGAAGCTTTATGGGAACCTTGAGAAGAGCCAATTCTTCTCACAAGAAACTGAATTCTTGGGATATTTTATCTCAAGTGAAGGCATCAAGGTGGACGAGAGGAAAACGCAAGTCATAAGGGATTGGCCCATTCCCACGTCAATGCAGCAAGTACGGAGTATCCATGGCCTTGCATCATTCTACCGAAGGTTTGTGCGAGACTTTAGCACCATCACCGCACCACTCACGGACCTCACCAAATATCAGAAGTTTGAATGGAACTCGAGAGCTCAACAAGCCTTCGAAACCATCAAAGAACGGTTGACACACGCCCCCGTGTTAGCCTTGCCAAGCTTTGAGAAATTGTTCAAGGTTGAGTGTGACGCATCCGGAGTTGGGATAGGAGTTGTCCTCTCCCAAGAAGGCCACCCGGTGTCCTATTTCAGTGAGAAGTTGAATGATACGAGAATGAGATATTCAACTTATGATAAGGAGTTCTATGCTCTTGTTCGTTCCTTAGAACATTGGCGTCATTACTTGGTCAGCAAGGAGTTCATACTTCACTCCGATCATGAGGCTTTGAAGTATATTCAAGGACAACACAAGCTTCGGCCCCGTCATGCCAAATGGATTGAATACATACAAACCTTCACCTTCACCATAAAGCACAAGAACGGAACCTTGAACAAAGGAGCCGATGCCCTCTCCTGGAGACGCCTATTACTAACGGCCCTTAGTGCCAAAATTGTTGGTTTTGAATTTTTGCAGGAGCTGTATAAGAAAGACGAAGACTTCAAAGACACGTTCTCCAAGTGTCTTGTGCGGCCCCATGGAGAGTTCTTCATCAAAGATGGTTATTTGTTTTGCGGAAATCAATTGTGCATTCCGAAATGCAGCCTTCGAGAGACCCTTATTGAAGAAGTGCATGGAGGTGGACTTGCTGGTCACTTTGGCATCGAGAAGACCTACATGCTTATGCGGGAACACTACCATTGGCCAAAGATGGAACGAGACGTGGAGAACTACATCAAACGGTGCGGTGTTTGCCAAACTGCCAAGAGCCACTCATTAGCCCAAGGAAAATATCTTCCCCTCCCCATCCCCATGGCACCATGGGAAGATATTAGCCTCGACTTCATCACGGGGCTGCCTAGAACACAATGAGGGAAGGACTCAATCATGGACGTGGTAGATCGGTTTTCAAGGATGGCCCATTTCGTGCCATGTCTAACCACACATGATGCTTCACAAATCGCTGATCTTTATTTCCGCGAGATTGTCAAGTTACATGGAATTCCCCGAAGCATGGTATCACATCGAGATAGCAAGTTCCTTAGCCATTTTTGGATGACACTTTGGAGAAAGATGGGAACCAAGCTCAATTTTAGAACCTCTCACCACCCTCAAACCGACGGTCAAACAGAAGTGACCAACCAAACTCTCGGTACGTTGCTACGGGTGCTCATCAAGAGGAATATAAAGCAATGGGAAGAACTACTGCCCCATGCAGAGTTTGCATATAACCGGACACCAAGCAAAACAACTGGATTTTCTCCATTCATGGTTGTTTACGGCTCAAACCCCCTTACCCCACTTGAACTTGATCCTATTATGATAAAGCAGAAATACAGTGCGGAAGTCGAGGAACGAGCTAAAGAGATTCAAGACCTTCATGCCAAGGTACGAGAGAAGATTGAAGCCACCAATGAAAGAGTGAGTGCGCACATCAACAAGAGAAGGAAGTCTGCCGAATTCAAACCCGGAGACTTAGTTTGGATTCACCTCAGAAAAGAGCGTTTCCCCACGAAACGCAAGTCCAAGCTACTGCCCCGAGCGGACGGTCCCTTTGAAGTACTAGAAAAGATCAATGACAACGCTTACAAGATCAACCTGCCCGGAGAATATGGAGTCTCCGCCACGTTCAACATTGCCGACCTCAGTCCCTACTTTGAGCCAGAAGATATTCCAAGTTTGAGGTCAAACTCTTTTGAAGAAGGGGAGGATGATATACCCCGGGATGCACCTTCACACACGCCACTAGTAGTACAACAAGTCAAGTGTTTAATGTCTAGGTGTTATGATCCATTTTGGGTTGAACTCATTGACCCGTCCCACATTATAGCCCGAACCATGACACTTCTCTCCCAAAACCCAACCTAGGCCGAAATGCCTACAAGCCCAACACACTCCCACATATCCAAAAGTATTTCATTCGCCTTTATTAACCAAAATAAAGTCCTTCACCTGCCTTTGAAGCCATGGCCGAAAATCGAAGAGACAAGGACAAACAAAATTGCTTTGTGTGTGTTGTTTTCTTTCCTAATATTCCCTACTTTGAATAAACCCTTCCTCCACCTTTTCCTACTTCAAACCCACGAAAATACATCCCCTTTTGTCCTAAGAATCCATCCCCATCCATCCCAATCTATTACAAAACACAAAAGACCAAATCAGGAGACAAGGATTAAACATGTCTTTTGTCTTGGTGTGAAAATCATTCAAAACCATCCCCCACACATCCCTTTGTCCCATGGCCGAATTCCTCCCCCCCAAACATCCCCCCAAATCATTTCTCACACCTATAATAAGGCCAAAGGAATAAACAATCAATCCCTTGATGTGTCACATACCTTACTTTGCATAAATGGACAAAAGGACACACTCCCTCACCCTACCCTTCACATGGACGAATTTCCCAACCCAAAGACAGCCCATTTCCCCACCTTGAACTCCATTTAGCCTTGATCAATGAGGACAACCTATGGGATCCATCAAATAGACATTATGCACTTGAATTGTAAGAAAGAGTGGTGAAGTTTCCTTGCTGTTTTTCCCTATATATTTCGGCCCTGTGGCCTTGTAAAATTCATTCATTGTATTTCATTTCCTTACTCTTTGAAGTAATATTTGAGTTGGTGTGAAGCTAATTCTCTCAATTTCCTAATGAAATATCTCTGAAGTTGGCTACTTTTGAGTGTGTGTTAGGAGTATATTTCATATAATAATAGTGAATATTATTGTGTGATAAGAAACAGCCCCAAATAAAATAAGAGTGTGTTTATCTCTTATTTATTATTTGGTTTATCCTTCTACAATAAAAACCACAAAAGAACTCCCTTTTCTTTCCTAATTTCGTCCATTTCCTTTCTCCCATTTAAACACTTCATTTCTTCATCAAAACCACTCCATAATATTGCTTTTCTCTTGCCCTTTATTCTGCCCTATCACCTCTTCCAAACAACCATATTTTCTTCATCATTTCATACACAAATCCAACCTATTCTTCACCATATATTCCTCTCTATAATCTGCCCTTATTTATCCATAGCTTTTCCTAAGCTTGGGTACATCAAACATGTTTTTGTTGGAGAACTATTTGGATATGTCCATGTTGGGAAACGAGGCTTGGATAACGCAGCGGAAAAGAAAAATTTATAGTCCAAAACTCGATTCCACCCAAGAACAACTTACGTAAATTACTAGCTATAGTAAGAAATTTACCTTAACGGTGAAAACGGAGAACGGAGGAACTGTCGGGGATGGTTTTGAGGAGATGAACGTAGCGCCAAACGTATGAAGGCTCCAACGTATCCACACGAACTTGCTCCGGAGTCCTAGATTAAACTTGTGCTAGCAAGTTTAATTTAGGATAGTAAAACTATAATAATACTACTTTGGGAGTAATAAATATATAGTAAAATATTTATCTTATAAATATTTTGTGTATATTTCTAACACTTTAGAAAAATAACTTGTAACACAAAATAATAATTTTCTCCTCTCTCTCTCTCTATTTGGCCGAAAATCACTTATGAAATGGGGTGGGATTTATTTCATTTTATAACACATTAATTAATGTATGAAGCTTCCTTGAGACATTAAGTTGTGATAATGAATTAATCAAAATGCAATGTCTCTAACCACCATAACAAAACAAAATAGAATCCCTACATCAAATAATAATCAAATATATCAATTTGACATTAAAAATACTTTATGTATAAAATCAAAATGGTCTTGGATTTTTCCTCTTAAAATTTCGGACATCACATATTTGAAATATATCATATTTTATTTTTGATATCAATAATTATCATATAATTAAAATGATGAAAAATAAAATAATATATATATATATACACACATTCGGCGCTACATATATATATATAATAAAATTTGTTTTGTCAAAATATAATTATCATATAATTAAAATGACACAAACAAAATATAATTTTAAAATACATATGTATTTTCGAAATACATATCTATGTATAAAATTATCTCAACTATATATTTAATATTACTCCCACTAGTGTAGTATACTACTCTCTTACAAGTCCTAAGTGTGTGACCCTTTAAGTATCCATAACACTGGCAATGATATTAATAAAATTAATACCATAGATAATAAGCGGTATCTAGCAACACATTATTATCCCCAGATTATGAAAAAAATGTTCATCTCATCAATACCTTCTACGACACAAGACATTCTATAACTATTATCCTTCTGTCCTAAATGTCATGATTTAACACAAGGCATGGGATGTGTATCCTTGTATAGTTAAATCAGTTGTTACTGAATCTCAAGTAGACTGGCAGGGATCAGATATTTATCAGTCTCTAGATAGTGACATATCTGGGCATGGCCATGCACTTTCCCAAGTCCTACTATTCAGTGGGCCCATTGACATTATACTTCTATACAGTAGAAGGGACAGATCCTGTATCTGTTATTCACATCTCTAAATATGCTTAGCGGCATACCCAACGCATAA